GTCTTGGAGGAGGAGGACCTCCGTGCGGGAACCGGTGGGGGCCGGACCGAGGGCCGCCTTCGCTCCTGCCGCCTGGGTTCGGGTTCGGGTTCGGGCTCCGCAAAAGGGAGGGAGGGAACCCCGACGGCAGAGCAGAGGCCGCTCGCAGGAAGGGCAGTGGATCCTCCAGTAGCTGAAGTCCCTCCGCTCGGGGAGCAGCGCAGCTGGTGGGCTCCTGACCCGGCAGAGGGGAGCCCTCAGTGCCGGGGTGTGTGTGTGTGTGTGTGTGTGCAGGTCCGTGTTCGGAGCTGGCGGGAGATTGGGGGAGCTGGGGTAGGGGTGAGGGAAAGAGTCCTAAGCAGGTGCCCAGGCCAGTCAAGGGGATCTGAGTGTCCCTGAGGACTGACCACTGCCACCCTCCCCCGGGCTCTTTAGGGGGTCCATGTTCATCAACCATTAACTTACGCGTTTGTGAAACGAATGGACCGCAAGTGGGTGGGCAGAGCTCTCTAAGGCAACAGTCCACTGTGGGGCTGGGGCAACACTGAGGGGCAAATCCCTGCCAGGGGCAAATGACAGGAGCCATCTCAGAGCCTGGATGCTCCTGAGTGGTGGGGAGCGGTGGGAGGCAGAGCACCTGGCCTAGAGCCCCGCCCAGACCCTAGGTCTTCTCACCCCCGCCCCGTGTCCAGAGCCTGATGGACTAAGGCCGGTGGCAAGTGGGAGAGGGACCCAGGTTGGGCTCTGGCAATTCTGGCATTTTGTCGTGGAGAACAGCCTGCGGGAGCAGCAGAGCAAGGCCTGGAGCTGAGGACGTGGGGGCTGTCTGGCCACCAGGCTGGCAGGAGAGTGGGGTCCAAGGAGGGGAGGACCAAGTGGTCAGGGTGTATGGAGACCTGTCCATGGGACCCAGATGTCTGGACTTCATCTGTGGACATTAGGAAGCCACTGTGCTGTTTGAGGAGGAGTGTCCTGGCCAGTGCAGCCGGCAGGGTGGGCGGATGGGGGTGGAGAGGTGAGAGGCTGGGGAAGGTGAGTGGGAGGTGGGACTGGCTAGGGCTGGGGTCTGGCCCTCCTGTCCTGCACTGGCTGGGTGCCGCGCGGTGACAATCTCCTGGGATCTCCCCATTGCTGTTTGAAGCTCAGAGACTGGCCTGCGCAGGCCCCTCCTTCCAGGGGCGTCTGTGATGGCTCCTGGTGAGAGGCACACCCTGCCTCAACTTCCTCTGCTCCTCCGCTCCACTCCCAGAGGGCACATCCCCATCAGAGCGCGTCCCTGGGCCGTGCCGGGAGCTGAGAGCCTGGGGCGTGCTGTCCACAGGAGAGAACGTGAGAGCTGCCTGTGTAATTTAAAAATTTCTAGTAGTCGCCTTAGAAAAAGTAAGAAACAGGCGAGCTTGATTTGAATAGTCTATTTTATTTAACTCAGTGCATCTAAAATGTTACTAATGTAATGCAACATAAAATGCTTAGGGAGATGTTTTACTTTCTTTTTTCTTACTACGTCTTCAATCTCCAGTGTGTATTTCGCACTGTGGCACCTCCATGGGGACAAGCCATCAATAAAATATATTAAAAAAAAAACAAAAAAAACAAAAAAAAAAGAAAAAAAAGAAAAAAAAAATTTCTAGTAGTCGCCTTAGAAAAAGTAAGAAACAGGCGAGCTTGATTTGAATAGTCTATTTTATTTAACTCAGTGCATCTAAAATGTTACTAATGTAATGCAACATAAAATGCTTAGGGAGATGTTTTACTTTCTTTTTTCTTACTACGTCTTCAATCTCCAGTGTGTATTTCGCACTGTGGCACCTCCATGGGGACAAGCCGAATTTCCAGTGCCCAAGTCCCAGGGGAGGTGGCTGCTGTACTGGTCAGCACGTCTCTGAGCTCAGAGCTGGAAGGCAGAGGTGGGGGGGCAGGGCTCAGGGCTTCCCAGAGGGTGGGCAGCCTGCGGGATCTGGCGGTGTGGGCGCAGGTGAGCATGACAGGGTCCTTTGCAGGTGTAACCTGCAATCCCTGATGGGTGGTGGCTGAGTGTGGCGTGGCATGGCACGCTTAGGTACCCTTCCCCGACTCACCGTGTCTCCAGGCTGACATCCTGCCAGGGTCCTGGGAAACCATACACGGGGGAGATCTCAAGGGCGCCGAAATGAGCCCCAAATCCTCTTCTCGGAGATTCAAGCAGGCCCACCCCGGTCACCCTTTGGCGTTCCCCTGTTCAGAAGTTCTGCCAGGGATGAGATGAAGAGGGAGAGGGCTGCAAAGCTATGGCCGATGGCCAGCGGGGAGGGAGAGCTACGTCAGTGGGCACCGCTCACTGGCTTGGCTCTTGGTCTCAACCCAAAGCAATGACATTCATGTGGCAGGTGCACACGGCAGGCTCTGGGGTCCGGTTTACAAGGTCCCACACAGCAGTGGTGGCCTGGGAAGCAGCTCGTGTGTCAGACGCCGACCCACGCCCTGCACAGGCCGGTGGTGTCCCACTCGCTGTGGAAGAGCTGAGGCCGTGGGGGGCGGGGAGGGATGTCCATGCAGCAGGAGGGGGCTCTGTGCCAGGCGGGCCTCGCAGAGCAAGGCCCCTGGGGATGTTAGATTCAGTTTATAATGGAGAATGTAGCCGGGAGTGGAGGGTAGGGGTAGGGGGGAGGGGAGGGGAGTGTCACAGAGCTTTCTTACCCCGCTGAGGGCTGTCACCTGTAGGATAAGGATGCTGATCACAGTGGGTGGCCCTCACACTGCTGTGCAGTAGATCCTGTGATTGTTGTAGGCCATAGAACCTGGCTCAGAGAGGGTGAGCAACTTCCCCAAGATCACCCAGCTAGTAAGCGGCAGAACTGGGACTTGAACTCGGGTCTGTTCGACTCAAATCCATGCACTTGGACACCAAACCTTCCTCGGGCAGAACCCAGCTGGACAGGTTCCCAAAGGTCTGGCTTTCTAGCCAAGCGTGCTGTTCAACAGGTGAATGGGAGTAATGAGCACGCACCCTGGCTCGCGTTCTTCCCAGCCCCTGCCCTTCGGCGCTGCCCTGGGGAGGCTCAGCTAACCTCTGCCTCTTTCTCTTTGTCTGTCTGTGTCTGTCTGTCCGCCTTTCTCTGCCTTTCTGTGGAGGGGTTGCCCCTCTTCTCTTCTATCCTCTGGATGTGTGTCCCCTTGGTTCTGCCGTCAACTCCTGTCTGTCTGTTCATCTTGTTGTTCTCTGCCTCCTCCCCTTCCCTGTGCCTCTCCTCATCTCTCTGCAGGACACGCCCGTGGATATGGGTGGGGCCCTGTGGCCAGCCCTGCTGCTCACCTCACTCCTCGGTGCCTGGGCAGGGCTGGGCGCGGGGCCGGGCGAGCAGGCTGTGACGGTGGCCGTAGTGTTTGGCAGCTCAGGGCCACCCCAGGCCCAGGCCCAGGCCCGGACCCGCCTCACCCCCCAGAGCTTCCTGGACCTGCCCTTGGAGATCCAGCCACTCACCGTGGGGGTCAACAACACCAACCCCAGCAGCCTCCTCACCCAGATCTGCGCGCTCCTGGGTGCGGCTCGCGTCCATGGCATCGTCTTTGAGGACAACGTGGGTACCGAGGCCGTGGCCCAGATCCTCGACTTCATCTCCTCCCAGACTCACGTGCCCATCCTCAGCATCAGTGGGGGCTCCGCTGTGGTCCTCACCCCCAAGGTGCCCATTCAAACTCATGTCCCCTCATCCCTTGGGCCTGGAGCCAGGCTGGGCCTGGGGGAGCAGGGCTGAGTCTGAGCCAGGGAGAGACTTAGGCCTTGGGAAGTTGGAATAGGGTGGGATGGACAGGAAGGTGGAGACTGAGGGAGGAGAGGGAGGAAGGAGAAGGCTGTGGGAAGGATGTTCTGGAACAGTGGTTCTCAACCTTGGCTGCACATTAGAATCACTTGAGAATCTTTTTTAAAATCCTGATTTCTGGGCCTCATCCTCCGGAAATTCTGTTTCTTTGTTATGGAGTGAGGCCACAACATTAGTAACAAAGAAACAGAATTTCCGGAGGATGTGCAGCCAAGGTTGAGAACCACTGTTCTAGAAGATCACCATTCTGGGCTGCTCTCACGTGTTGTTCTCCAGATGAGAGGTGGGCAGGTGGCAAGCCTACCTCTGGCTGTGCTGGCAGCCCCGGCTGTGCTACCTTCTCTCTGCTTCTCTGGCCTTCCCTGGTCGGGCTCTAGACTTGGGGGTGGAGGGCCAGGCTGGGCATGGGACCCAGGAGATGTGCCTGCAGGAGAGAGCATCCAGAGGCCGTCACTGTCTGAAGCATGGCGGAGGCATGCCCTCAAAGAGCTTCCATCCTGTGGGGAGAAAGTTCTAGACAACAGTCCACTGTGACTGCGGTCACAGGAGGATAAGTGTTCTGGAGGAAAAACACAGGACACCACAGGGGAGTCAGCGGGGCCGGTCTGGGTAGGGGGGTTGCTCAGAGAAGGGCTCTTAAGAAAGGATATGGAAGCTGAGGCCTGGAGGCGGAGGGGAGGGGGCATGCGGTGTGGGTGTGGCGGGTGGGAGGGAGTGTCCCAGGCAGAGGCAGGCGGCGGGAGCACCCCGAGGTGAAGAACAGAGAGAAGCCTGGAAAGGGAGGTGGAGTCCGGCCACGTGGGAGGACATTTGGGTTTTGCCCTAAGTGGGGAGCCAAGGAATGTGTTCAGGGGAGCTGATCTGAGTTGCCTTTCTTTATGATTATTTTTATTACGGAGAGTCTTGAGCACACATACAGGTAGAAGAGTATAGCGACCGGATGTGCCCCCATCCACCCCTGCCCGACCCTGCCCATCCTTACCCCCACCCAGGCCGCCCCTGCTCTTATTAAAACAAAGCCCAGACACCCTATTATTCCATCCATAAATCTTTACGTGTGTATCTCCGCTAGATAAGGGCTTTAAAAGAAACCACCATCTATTATCACATCTAAAAATAATAAAAATTCCTTAACATCATCAAATAGCCAGCCATTGTTCAAATTCCCCCCATTGTCTCAGAAACGCCATAGAAGCTTATTTTTGTTTGTTTGGTTGAATCAGGAGCCAAGTCAGGTTCCCATGTGGAATTGGCTGATATGACTTCCGAGTCTGTCTCTAGGCTTCTCCTCCATCTCTCTTTTTCCCTTGACATTTGTTTGTTGAAAGAACTGGGTTACCTGCTCTGTAGAGTTTTCCCAAATTTTATTTTCTTTCTTTTCTTTTTAAAGATTGGGACAGTCGGAATACGGTGAAATCTTGGAGGGGCCGCGGTGGCCGCAGGGAACCCTCAGTTAGGGGAGTGGCTGGCAGCCTTAGAGCCGTGGTTTGCAGGGGCCCGGGCTGGAGCTGGCGGTGCCCTGGGCACCGGTGGTGGCGGAGGTGGAGGAGGAGGAACGTTCTCCTCCCCAGGGCTCCGTGGAGGCTGGCCCTTTCCCGTGACCTTTGGGCCCGATGTCAGCTCTCAGCCCGGTGGTTCCCCACCCTCAGTTCTTTCGAAAGACCCTACAGCCAGCGCCCCAACTCCGAGACTGCGATTCGGTTGGTCTGGAACAGCGCGTCCCAAACCAGGGAGCTCGAGAATCACCCGAAGAGCTTGTTGAAATACAGATTCCCGGGCGCCACCCCCCAGAGATTCTGATCCAGCAGGTGGGCGAGGCGTCCCAGAATTTGCATTTCCAACCAGCTCCCAGGTGACGGGCAGGAGCGTGTAGAAAACTCTCCAGGTGACCTAATGGGCGGCAGCGGTTAGGAACCACGTCTGGGGCGGGAGGGCGGTCTTGCGGGGCAGGGCCTCCCTGGAGTCAGCGCCAAGGCATCTAAGGGCTGACCTA